GCGCCCTCCTACATTCCACGTCTTGCCGCACCAACAGCAATCCCAGGCCTGATTCTTGGCCTCGAAAGGACAATCTGCAAGTGGACACTTGGGGAGCGTGTAGCCTGACGGGGGAGGGTATGGAATTGATTGCTTGGTGGTGTTGCTGCAGGCGCGGCGATGCGAGAGACCGATTGCACAGTATCTTATGTGCGTTGAGACATGCTCGCATGCGAGACGGAAAGTGATTTGCTGACACATTGCCTGAGATATGCTGGCCAAAACGAGGCGAACTGGATGGGTAGAAGTTGAGTGTTGGAATCAGCAATATGAAGGTTGGCATGACTTTTCGTGATAACGTCCAACACCTCCACGGACAAATTGAAGATGTATGGGTTTTATGTATTCGAGTCTCTTCATTCCGATATCAGGTCAAACCGGCTCTCCTTACCCTTTCCTCCACCTCACAAGCACAACCCCAAAGAATCACCAACGCAACTCCAACCGCGATAGATCCCGAGGGCGGACATGGCTTTCATATCCCCCAAAGAGGCCTGAAAGTCGGGCGGACAAGCTAGAGATCGGGACTTATTGGGCGCATTGGCTTGGAGTTCGTAGCATAGCCGACGACGATTGATTCCACCATCAAGGTTTGTCGATATCGCGAGGGAAAGAGAGTCTCTTCAAACTCATGAAAAGGTCCATCACTGTGAAACCCGTCGACCAGCTATCCATACTCTGTGGTTTAGGAGGGTCACTCGGAGTTGAGCTTTGCTCTTCGTTCATCGCAGCCTGTTCCTTTACGGAAGTTTGGGGTCGTCAAGTGGCTCGCAAAGGAGCCAAGAATGGAAACATGGGCGATCAAACCTAGATGCAGTCAGCAAAACAATTGTGGGAGTGTTAAAGGGGAAGAGATAATAATAGACTTGCCAGAATTAAACGCCATAAGAGGGACAGGTATATATCGTGGCGGCTACCTTCTGCCTGCATATGCCACAACGTCGGACTATACTCGAAGCTGAGACATGAGTTGCGACTCAAACCCCGAAGTTGACGTACCGTCCCCGAGATTTTTCGGCTTCTGCTGCTACTCATGTCTTGTCCTCTGTGCAGTTCTCGCATACTTGGTGTGTGCAAACAGTCATGGTATCTGCAGATCGCACATTCAAGCATCTGACGCTCGAGTTGCCCACTCTCCCGCACATACAGCATTTCCACCTCCCATTGAGATCGGCGAGTCTACACTCTCCTGAGCTACAACGAGGGTCGACCATGCACTGACTCATGGAACACGGGTCACTGAGGTTGCCGTCGTGAGCACTGCTAGAGACGCTATCGCAGGGCTCGATGGGATGGCTGGTGATGGGGTCGTATCGGGCTGCGGCGCAGAAGGTATAGTGATAGCTGTAGGTGATGGGACGGGGGCAGGGGGGTATGTGATGGTAGTGGATATAGTTGGCGATGCACATTGTACTGTTGTACAGATGTGTATATGCGTGTCTCGGGAGGATGCTTCAGTTGGATACGATCAAGCAGAGAAGAGGATGAGATCTGGCTGCGCAATCGTGACGGGTTGCTGACCTTGAGAGTGTTGGATTGTGTTGTGTTGGTGTTCAGAATGTGCTGTGTATTTGAAAATGGTGTGATTCTGCAGGTTGGAACTGAAGAGGCAGAGTAATGATATCACAATGAGGCTATTGATATCTGTTATTGGCTCAAGACCGAAAGGGGAGACAAGGTAAGCAGAAGATGTCCCTTTGTCGATATACCTGCTGAGCGACGTCAGGACAAGATACACGGGAGGTAATTCTTCAAGGTGCCTAAGATATCGATGTTCTGGGTCGAGACTGACTGGCTGCTAGGAGAAGCTGCTAATATAATGCGAAAGCTGAAACTCAGGCCCCAGAACGACCCGTCGATTCTCTTGAAGCAGCTTCAGCTCAAGGAGAAGAGGAGAGTCAAGGCCCTCTTTATGTCTGGCCCTGCCTAGTATCACAAAACAACAGCCCACAACCAAGAAAGAGAAAGAAAGCCAAACCGGTCGACCCATAAGACAGCCCAGCTCAGCCCAAGACTACAATATCCATAGGGCTGAAGCTGGTAACGGGAGCACTAACCGGCAATTTTCTAGTCCAGATTTCTCTCGACGAATAGACGGTACAACATCGCCCGGAACGGGGGGTGATGAATGGGTAAGACGGGAATTACCCTCAAGAGTTATAAGCGGACAAAAGCCCGGGTCGAGAAACGAAACCGACTGGGATCAAGTATACGATCTCGCTCAGTCTCGCTCAGTCTCTCTCAATCAAGTCAATGCGGGAGTCTCGACCGCATCATTGGTTTGGTTAGGTGTAGTGGCTTTTTCTTTTGTTCTGGATGGGCCAAGCTGAAGTCCGGAGTGACACCGTCTCGGACTGTCCACGTTGCTTCAGGAGTCTCATGCAGGACAAGACCTTTTTCACCTCGTGGAGTTCTCGTGGGCTACGAGCCACACTGGATCTGGACCTGGACCTGGAGCTTCTGCTCCTGATGTACCGGTTTATAACTGGTCTTTGCAGGCTTCCACGGTCCAGGTACATGGATGCGACTAATGTAACGGGTACAAGACATTGCAATGCAGAAAAAATAAAAATCTAACTCGGAATCCCCCCGCGGAGATGAGTGCAAATTAAATGTTGTGTTATCCTTGGTTCTGTTATAAGCGCGGAAAGTCTTGGTGTAAATAGTGTGCTTACTCAGGTCTCACTAAACACATGGCTCTCTCGTGGGGACGCTACTTTGTTTCACGGTTACTTCAACTATGGGGACCTTTTTACCTTGTCTTGGCATTTGGGGCTATTAGATGCCCTTGGATTGGCTATTGGCTCCATCGGAAGCCTAACCCGTCGGAGGAGATGTGGGTTGGGAATTAAATGGAATGAATGGAGTTGCAGGGTCTGTATATACGTACAGCACAGTACTGTATCGTTGATGTCACTATTGGAGGAAGTCTACTGTACTGGGATTGAGCTTTGACGCTATAGAGATTGTCTTATAGACGGCCATAGCATTGGCAGCTCACACTGTATTCTCCGGAGCAAGGGCTGAGGACTTGTTACATCATGAAGCAGAGAGTCACCTCATGGTGTTGTTACACAACCTCCCATCGACACTCAGTCAGCCAAGCCACAACAAGATCACCAACAGAGACCACGATGGCTATTGCCAGAATTTGTCATGAATATCTTGACCTCGAGCTGAACCAAAGACCCGGAGAGGCTTAAAGCTGATGATCTATCTTTGTCCCTGTCTAACGGTCAGGCCCAGCCCCGATTAAACCACAGAACTCAAACGCCGCAAACTTGACTATGGTCCAATAGCATGTGATTACTTGGACGGACAGAGGGAGGTCATTATTAGAATCGTACGATTGATCTTCGGACTCAGATGCCCTGAGCGTATGTAGGTCATCTCGTGCCCACTTGACCGGATAACAGTTAACACTGGTCTCTTCCAACTTGGTCTTGATCACCATGAGACATCTCACGGACGTCAAATACCAGCGATCTGCGAACTCACAATCACAATCGTGACCCTCACCGGTGTGATATCCCAGCCTCGTCCTCTCATCTCTATCGCCAAGGTTCAGCTTCGCACCCTCAACATCCAGCTCATCAAGTTGGATTACGACCAACGTGATGCATCTTCTTGTTCCCTAAGCTAGTCGCGAGTCCGGCACCTGTTATTCCACCCTTAGTCTCGACTTTAGTCTCCGAGGCCGCCAAGTTCCAGTCTCCCGGATCCAATTTATCTGGGATATTGACTAGTCGGTAGTCTATAGTCCCAGTCCCACCTTGCATTTCATCTTCGGGGACCATCGGCCTTAGGGATCTGTGGATGCCGGCTACTAGCCCGAATGGTAGTACAACTCGATGGGACTGACTGGTTTCTGTGGGTTTATATCATTCAAGGCATGATGATGGGACCTGGAGATATTACCATGCGACTTGGACCCATACCGATTAAACAGCTGCCTTGTTCTGACTGGCATGTGATAGCCCATCGACGACTTGGACGCGCAATTCGAAACGAGCCAGCAATGCAAGAATTTAATTCTAGAAACCGAGGGCTGGTCCATGACCAAGGCCCTCTGTCTCTGTGGAGGTGACAGCAACACCTTGCCTTTCTGTAACATCAGGGCTAGGGAAATTACCCCAACTGACGAGACACAGTTGACTGTTGACCAGCCCAAAGAGTCAAATAGCCATTGACAAAGACGCGTATGCTCTTCAATGCCCTAGCTTGTGGCCGTTAGCAGAGCCCTAACAAGGATGTCACTTCGCACATCCATCGTCGCATTACAGCATCATGATCTTGTTGCAGAACCCAAAGTCAAGACGACTTACAAGGCCCCGATGAATGTGTTAAAGTGTCGGAAGAAGTGGCCGCGGAGAGCATAAGAGACGAAATAATTTGAGCACCTTATGCAAGCTTAGGCTACTTTATTCCTGCAGCCTAAGCATCAGAGAATATTCTTCTGACAGCCACCCACCTGGAATGTCAAGACCACATCGAGCTGAAAGAACTGTATGGGAATGGAGGTATACGCGTATGATCTGATAGGATGGACCACCAGCGTTCAATCGACCGTCATCAATAGGCTAAAGTAACCAAGCCTCGCAATAGTGACTCTCGACCAGCGCTGTGAAGCACCAATTTGGAACAACAATTGCTGACACTTGCGAACCAGGAAATCGCATCTCGGCAACATCAGCATAGGGGTTCAGATAAGCACAGTAGCCAACTCCAATCTGCATACTTGATTCGTTCCCGTAGATGTATTATATCAGCTTCATTGGATTATCACCTATTTGAACCCCGACATAAGACGCCCAAATGTTAGCGCTGATGTCTTCACCAGCGCTCTCCGGCTGACGTGGGACACCACGAATAGATGTCCCAGCAGCCAATATGCAGTTCCATATAAAATGTCTGTGTTGAGCACAAGAATGGTAAATATCGTCAATCTCTTCACATTCACAATGGCGTTTCGTAACTTTGCAAGTCTTCCGTTGGAACTTCAGATTAAGATATGGCAGACTTACACGCACCCTGGACCGGCCATGCACATCTTTGATGTGTGCTATCCCTCATGGAAAGGCGATAAACGTGCCGAAAGAGCATTCCAGACGAGGAGAAACGATAAACAAGGAGAAGCGAAGTTCAATGATTATAAAAAGAAGGTGTTCCTCGATCGTATGGATACCAGCAGTTCAAAAGGCGTGTTTGATCCAAGCATGTATCATGCGACTGCGATGTCAAGACTAGTCAGTCGTCTCACAGACCAAACCGTCAGGGAAACCGAGGCTAGACAAGATATGAACGAGATCTATCTTGCTGGCCGAGGTCAAAGAATCTCCGTCCCTGCGTCGGATGTCCTCATGTTGCGCATTCGCCAAGAGCCATTCGACCACCATGATCTGGTCACTGAGACACTACTCTGTCCACCACCCATCAAGGACATCCTCGAGAATCAATGGTCACCCGAGATAGCGTCGGTCCTGCGGGGCGCAAAGAAGATAGCAATCGACGTGGGTGAGACTTGGGCGACAGGATTGTACGGCGAGTTGGGTCTTGAGGAGATCGCCTTCTTTGCGTGCACGATCCAGAAAGACCTTGAGGTGCTGTACCTGGTAGATGAGTGCACAGGGCGGTGTCAAAAATGCGGAAGACACAAAGTCAAAATGGAAGACATCCTAAAGCGCGATACCTTGTGGAAAGGTCTACGGACGAAGAATACCGACGACCAAGATCGACCAGGAGACATCATCAACGCTGTCTCGAGACGCTATGTCGAGGCCACGAATCTGACAGCGCTGGGGTGGGACGAGGAACACCCGTCATACCTCTTTGCATGTTTGATTGACACCGCTATCAAGACCCAACAAGAGGGTGCGGACAGAGGCAAGTTCAAGGGTGTCAGAGTATTGGTAGTAGAAGATGAGTGAATCACGGAGGGACAAATGTAATTAGAAACTTGGGTTGTGAAGCTAAAGAAACCACCCGCTCGACTTTTGCCGGGATATACCATAACGCCGTACATGTTCTACCACTTATATGCATTTAAAATCTGTCTTGTTAGCATAGTTTGCAGACTGGAGTTGGGATACTTACCTGATTTCATATGATCCTGCTCTCGTCATGTACCGCACCCACTTAACGCTCGAATAATTACTCTTCTCAAACACCTTGAGATATCGTACCAACAGACCCGAACTCGTAAACATGAGCAAGCTAAAGTTCATGCTTAGTGGCGGTCGGCTCCATGCTCGCTGGTTGGTCATGCTCGTAAGGATAGCCTCTGCGCTGAGGACATATTCACTCTGACCCGTGAAGCGACCAATCTTCCAGATGATGACGTTCTCGCTAGGCTCGTACTTGGCCTTGCCCTGCGTGCAGCGCTCGGTAATCTTTGCGGTGTTAAGCGGTGTAGGGATCTTAACGACAACGTTGGTTGCGAATAGCTTGGAGCCGAAGTTGGCTTTCACACCAATGCTGTATTCCACCTTGGATCGGCCGACCTCATTAACGATGGCATGTACCTTGAAAGGCAGATTAACATTCTCCGTAGCGCGGTATCGCATCAACTCGAATTCGCCGTCGGGAGGCACAAAGCTAATAATGCGATCGGCGTCGAACTTGCCAAGCTTGACACATTGATGGAACTGGCAGTCCTCGAGGGTGACACTTCCAGCAGCTGCCTTTGTGGCTTTCGTGCCCATCTTGTTTCCGCTCGGCAGGCTCAGCAAGCCGTCGTTATCGAGAAGCAGACGATCGTTGAGGCCAAACTTGCACTCGGGGGTGCCGGAAAGGTAAGCGCGCATGATGATCTGGCCTGTCACGTCTGCGCGCAGAACAGCGCCAGTGGCGGACATGAGCAGGTTGACGTCCTCGATCACATCGACGAAAGCTTCGTTCTTACGGTACTTAACGTCAGCCTTGCGCCAGGAGAGAGCGCCGGTGGCCTGCATCGTAATCTTGGATGTGTCTTCTTTTCGCGACTCGGACTTGACGCCTTCGGTGGTGATGTACATCTTGAGGGTGTCGGTTTCTGTGTTTTGAGGGTATCCGAAGTCGATGATTTCTACAAACGGTCAGTAGAGGCGTAGGCGGGCGGTTGGGAGACATACCGTCTAGAAGCTCATAAACCAAGACAAAGTTATTCTTGACGGCCTCCTCGTCGAATTTGCCAAAGTAACCCTTGCCAAGCTGAATCAGCCGGTAAAGGAACTCAAAGACAAGAGCGGCATTGGCATTGCTCTTTGTAATAGCGACCAAGTAAATGTTCTCGTGCTTGACATGGCTGAATGTGGTGCTTCCGAGGGTAAGGATGGGCGATCGGACTTGAGCGTTGGAGATGACCTGAATTCGAAAGACGTCGGCAAGACGAGGACGACAGTCGTTTCGGAAGGCGCGGAAGATAAGGTTCTCGCCCTTTTGATTGAATACAAGGACGCCGGATAACATGGTCGCCAATTGGAGGTGTTTGTTGATGCGATGCGGTTGAAAGTCAATCCAATCTCCAGGGTCTCAAGATAGGAGGTGGAGGTGCCGTAGTGGGGGATTCTGCCGGGTAGCTCCAAAGCGGTGAGTGAGTCGTGAGCTGACTAACCTGACATTGGTCACTGGGATTGAAGCCATGACATTGCGTTGGAGAGTTTGTTAATTGAAGTATTTATTCTATATTCAATGTGTCGATAGATAAGCGTCTGTATTTTGTGGTGTTGATGGCTTTCCACGGGTGACATTGCTTTTGTTGGACTGTGCAATGTTCTCCTGCGGTCCACGCTTGAAGCTGGCACCATTGAAGAGTGTTGGATAAATTAAATCATGCTTTACTTTTTCTCTTTGAAGATGGACACGGAATCAATAAAGCATCATCGCGTTCTTTCGCATTCGAGAACCTTGGGACCTTGAAGTGGGTTTCTTGGCATTGGTTCGCTATTATTCGGCGTCATCTTCCTTACTGCGCCTCCAGCCACAGCCACTCAACTCACTTTATCACCATCTTATACGTTTCTCTCATCCGCGTTGAACCTACATACTTTTCCTTCATTATATCTTCGCAAAAATGGATGCAACTGTTGAATTTCCGCAATCATTTGTCCGACCATGGAAGGAACTACTCCAATCGCGACGCGACGAGCAACAGGATGATTTCCCAAGCTACTACGTCAACAATGTCGACTCCCTTATTACGACAAGCTCGCCTAAGTCGTTATACGTTGGAACGGGCCACTCCATTTACACGCGCGCTCTTCTACCAGCTATTCTGAGCGCCAAACATAGCGTCCAACTTATTACATGCTACTGGGCTGCGTCTCCCTCCCTTGATGCCATTCGTGACACAATCGAGAAGCTTGCGACAGCGCGTATTGAGTCCAATGTCCAAACCCGTCTACGAATTACGATAGGCTTCTCATCCTTTGGGCTATTTCAGAAGCTTTTGCACCCTGCGTCTCGAGATGGTTACGTCTATGAGCCCTCGAAATGGTCCAAACTGGGTCTTCCGGATCAGCAATTACTCGAGAATGCCGGCATCGACCTCACCGTCAAGAGTATCTTCTTCACGCCTCTAAGTGTTATGCACCCCAAGTTTGTCATCGTCGATGGGAAAAGGGCTTGGATCCCAAGCTGTAATGTTAGCTGGGAGCGATGGTTCGAAGGTTGTGTGGAGGTTGAGGGCGCCATCGTGGATCGACTTTTGGCCTTTTATGACCGTGTTTGGGCACAAGGTGATGAGCCTCAACGAATATCAGACGTTCAGAACGATTCACAAACAGGGACTGAGGCGTCGCCCCGACTACCTGCCAGCGCCGAAGCTTCAGCAACACAAGCGATTGCCTTCCCTGCTGAAGGCCCTGTCCCGACCATCTTTCTACCTTCACCACATCATCGCAACCCCAAATTCTCCTTCTTCCCCTTCTTGTCACAGAAGGACCCTCCAATGACTCCTCTCAACGCAGCGCTTCTCACACTATTCGCCAACGCTCAGCGACGAATTATTATCCTTACCCCCAACGTCACCTCATGGCCTGTTGTCGACAGCCTGTTAGATGCGCTTGCTCGTGGAGTTGATGTTCAGATCAGGACAAGCAAGGGAATGATGTTAATCGAGCAACTGGTTACTGCGGGTACTACAACATCGTGGTGTTTGAACAAGTTCATCCAGAGATACAACGCTCTCGTCAATCAGCCGCGACCCTCGGACCCAGAAGCACAAGCACAGACGCCTGGCAAGTTGGAGATCTTTTACTACAAACAGCTTGACGCTAGACGTGACGAAGAAGACGAGCCGGTCGTGAGCCACTTCAAGATGACTCTCGTGGATGATGAGTATCTGGTACTGGGTTCCGGAAACATGGACAGAGCAAGTTGGTGGACAAGTCAAGAAATTGGTCTATTATTCTATGTTCCTGGCTTCCAAGGCCAGCACCTCTGGAACGACGTCCTCGAGAAGCGCGCCGAGGTCTTGTTCCAATCGGATCACCCTAAGCGGTTGATCTGATCATGATCCCTCAGCTGCCTTGATCTTTTCCCAAACACTGACGAATGTCGATGGATCGTTAGCGCCAGAAAGTCGGAAGCGATCCTGCATCACAAAGTCAGGCACTCCGCTGACACCACTGAACTGCGCCTCCTCCGATAGCCTGTCGACCTCCGGACCGTACTGGTCGCTGTCGACGATGCTCTTTTGGAACTCATCCTCTGGGATTCCCGCCTCAATTGCCACCTTCTTAAGCGTGTCGTAGCTGGTGATATCTTCATTCTTCTCGAAGTAGGCGGCGAAGAGACCATCAAGAGCCTTGCCCTCAGCCTCCTCACCATGCTTCTTGGCCAACTGCACCAAACGATGCGAATCCCTGGTGTTTCCAGTCTGTCCGCCGTATTTGAAGTTGATGCCCAGGCTCTCTCCAACGCCGCTCAGATGCTTCTGCATCATGGTCACGCGCTCCTTGCCGAACTTCTCATTGTAGACCTTCTCCTTGGAGACGCTAGATCCAGGGCCTCTGGGCCATTCGGGCTTGAGTTGGAAGGGTTGATAGCTGACGGCAAAGGTGTCGTTGGAGTTGGGGTACTTTTGCTCCCACATGCGTTGGGCAGCCTGGAGCTGTCGGCGACCGACGTAGCACCAAGGGCAGATGGTGTCTGAGGTGACGATGACCTTGAAGCGAGTCATTGTAGTTGAGTTGGTGTGTAAGATGAGGTGAGATTCCTAGAATGGGATGAAGGATCCAGGATGGTGGCAGCCTTTTCGACTTATACGTGAAGGTATTGCTCTTGTGCAATCTTGATTGCATCAGCAAACGCCGCTATGATCACGTAAGCACCCGGACTCCCGTAATTTGACCCCACCGTTCGTCGGGGTGGGTCGGTTCAGTGGGATGCCGAGGTCCGGAGTGGATATTGGGTGTTACAATTGCCAATATTGTGAGACGTGATTTGAAATCCAATACTTTCTGAACATTTCCGCGCAGTGGCACGGTGGCGGGTGTTTGTCTTGATTAGGCTTCATTCAGCTCAGTGCCTCGGGATACTTGTATCGATGTTGAGGTAGTGCTGGGCAGGCCATAGGCAAGAACACACTGTATGTTAGCTGTTTAGCATAGGGCTGAGTGAAAGAGAACCCATGTAGGGCTGAGTTAGTGCTAGAGCAATGATCCGATGACATGATGTGTGGTCAATCCAAGTTAGCCCCATCGCAACATGCAGCTTGACGGGTAATGCGCACGTCAGGGGTGTGTTCCTAAGCAATAGGCGACGACCTAGCAGATATGACTGATTACATCCCATCGTAAATTGATGAAACAGATCGACAAGGAATCTCTTCAACCCCAGACTTTACTATTGTACTTTACGTAAAGGTCGAACGTAATGAGAACTCAGTCATTATTAGGCACAAGGCGACAGACCCATCCACTAAGCTCAAACAAATCTGCAGTATATATAGAGTCCAACATGTAGCTAAAATATATAATTGCAGTATACATCTAATTCGCGTAGACAGTACCATCCCTAGGCAACTTGCCAGTAGCCAGGTACCGATCCATAGCCTGGCTTGTCTCCCCCTGTAGGTAATGACTCGTATGTCCAGCTCCATTCCTCGTAATGCTTACTCTTTTTGTCAACTGCTCCCTGACTCCTTCGGCATTCGTGACGCTTGTCTCGGGATCATATACCGAGGCCGCAAGAAGTATTGTCGGCGCATACTCGATGTCACTCGCAATAGGACCTTGGGGGTTCGTCAACGGCGCAGGCCACCCTATACATGTGCTTTCGTAGTAGTAGGTTTGCGACATGCCGAGCGTTCGTGATGCAAAGGTGACAGCATTAAGGAGCTTTTGACGTAGGTCGACCGACGTTTTCGACCGATGAAGCCAGTCTTGACATCCGATGGCGAGGTAGTTATAGGGAGAGCCACTAGGGTCTTGAACGATACGTGTATTGGGTGTGGACGTAGATAGAGCTGTTGCATTGCCCCTACTGGCTTGGAGGAGAGCATCGGCAAGGTCGAACCAGTTAGGGCCGAAGTCGAGATATTGGAATGTCAAAAAGCTTTGCGCATTGTAGCGAATTTCCTCACCAGTCACGTCGGAGCGACAGGTACCGTTACAGCTTGGTGCTGAGATAGGCTTCGAGTCCGCTTTCTCAAGAACCTGATCCCATATGCGGCTTGAATTCTTGCCGTGAAGAGCGCAAGTTGAATTCCTGTCGCACCAATCGAAAAACTGGTTGAGGGTTGTTTCGTAGCCTGTGCTTTCTGCAAGGAGGGCTCCTATCTCGGATTGCGAATGGTCGACAATTGCATCAAGGGCCATTCGACCGACAGATCCAGGGAACAAAGACGCAAACGTGTAACCGAGGAAAGTACCGTAAGAAAGACCGAGGTAGTTGAACTTCGAATCCCCAAGAGCCTTGCGCACAAGTTCATGGTCTTTGGCGACATGGACGGTATCAAGATGGTTGATCAGTGGACCGGTCAAATTCGCACAGCTCTGGCCGACCTCTCGGCTGTAATCGTAGAGATCGTCATACTCCTCATCAGTCGTGACATAAGTCTTGACGCGTTTGTTGAAGACTTTGGGATCGCATTGGACAGGGGTACTGATGCCTACTCCGCGAGGGTCAAGACCGATAATGTCGTACGCGTCTCGAAGCTCATCAGAGAATGATATCGCTGAAACGTAGGGACTTCCTGCGACGACGAGGGCACCAGATGCACCAGGACCACCTGTGTTGAAGAATAGAGAACCTTGCTTTTCGCCTTTACCGGTATGATTGAGGCGTACAAGACCAAGTGCAACGGTGCCGTTGCCTTTGGCAGTTGTGGAATTGCCGTTTTGATATGCAAGAGGAACGTTGATCTTTGCGCAGTCAACGCCCGGCGGGATCGTAGCGGGGCATCTTCCCCAGGTTAACTTGGGTGCAGCAGCATTAGTGGCTGTAGCTGCAAGTGCGAGAAGCACCACAGAGAAGAAAGACTTTGGAGGCGCCATTGTTGATATAATTGAGTAGAAAAGCGTCAGGAAGAGAAAGGGAGAAAAGAGTAATTGCAAGGTTTTATATCTCCTCAGCGACGCGAGGGTGCTTGCCCCTCACGATCTGAACTCTGATTAACACGTACTGAAAGCTAATTCGAAGCTATAGCTGCATGCCGTCTGTTCCGTAAAGTGCACCTATGGAACTAATGTGCAATGATTCACTGCTAACGAAGTTGTCTTAGTGCTGACTGGCACAAACAAACGCCACCAGCATTCCATGCGGGTCACTGAAAGCTTGACTGACCACCGTAAGACAAAATAATAGAGTTAATTTATGCACATTAGATTTGTTGTTGGACTCTTTGTTTTCTTCATCTTAAAATTAGATCTCCAGCTTGTTGCTCTTAGAGGCATGGACTGGTTGGATTCGGATTCGCTTGAACCGATTCGGACATTAACTACGAATCCCAAGATGATCGTCACGCGGCTATCGGTTGTTTCCGAGACGTCAGTTCGCGCTTAAATGCTTGACTGTTGGTGGTGACAACTGCCATGCTCCGCCAGCATTTTCGTATCACCTTCGTATTCTGAATTTCGGTCAACTGATGATGCGGTTTCAATGGAATCCAACAGTCACTCACATATGACTGAAGTAATCTGCTCGTTCATTGATCAGTCGCCGTGATTTCGTAATGCAATACTTTAGCCATTTCGGAGTTGGTGGATGGGATTTGATAGATTTGTTGTGACAGTCTTAAGCCATGGCTAGCCAGTTCGATCTGAATCATCCCACAAGAGGCTTAGCCGTGGAAGCATAAGGGAGGAAATCATGTCGACGGTCTAGTTTACTCAGAGAAACCAAAATTCATCAAACATCTCTAGGATTTGAAGGAACGTTCCAATTTACCCAGTGGTCGCATCAGCATGACGTGTGAATGCAAGTATCGGATCTGAAACCCTGCTGCGATAGTTGTGTCTGTCAACGTGCGACCTTCAACCACTAGTAGAAGAGAAGAAATTCCGCCAGGGGTAAGACACAGGATGCTTCAGAATACGAATAGGGGATGAAATGATTCTCCGTGTAGTCCTTGATCAAACAGAAAGAGCATCGTGACTCGTCTTTGGTTGAGCTAGCCTTGCAGTGTCGCGTGCCGGACTTATAGCGACGATTTCAAGGGTACAAATTGGATCATCCATATGTTAACCAATAACACTCTCAAGTTACAGTTGTCACAATCGTCATCGAGAAAATCTCTTAGAGGATATGGAATAAGCCTTTTTGGAATTTTAAGAGCTGGTATGGAGTGGGGAACACCGTTGGCATCTTGTGACTCTGCTCAACCCCCTTTTCACGCAACAGACACTGGATGACCAACTCGATCACCACCGCCCAAACCACAATAATGCAACACCAAAAGTTCCATAGGAAGCTCAGCAATGTCAAGCACATATCATACATCTAGTACTTTACCACATTAGATCAAGAAGAAAGGGGCGTAACCTCCAATCGTCGGCCCCCCCTTTCAGTAGTCTTCATCACCAACAAAACTACAAAAAGGTTCGCAAAGCGCACATTGGCGCCTACTACATCCTACTGGAACGTTCTAGCGAACCAGATTAACCCCCGGGTGTGCCCAGGGGGACAGGACAACAACGAGCCGGCGTCGAACCGGCGAACCTTGGAGAGAGACAGCCACGACATCTCACCATGCGTTAACCACCCCGCCACCGCTGTGTCTTGTCGACGACAGCGAGCTAAAGCTTTTGGTATATAGAACTATCTCAAAGGTGATATTGGGAAGGTGGGGGATCAGTGCGGTGTTGGGAGGCTGCTCCTTCCTTCCCTGACCCGTGGAAGGGAGATGGCACGTGAGATGTTGAGGCGCTGTACGGAAGCCACATTTGGCTTTTACCGGACAACTACCGAGTCAACACAATAGGGAGCACTAAAACGATCCAACCACTATCAAAGGTGCTGCACGGATAGGGAAAAAAAAAAAGGG